TGATAATTATAATTATAATAAAAATTTGTGACATTTGTACAGTGCTGTGGCTGAAACCGAACCCATGGACACAAGCGGAGGTCCCTCCACCTCCACCACCTCCACCACCTCCACCCCCAGCACCTCAACTGCTGCGTGCCCGTCAAGATCGGACGGGGACACTCAGACAAACGACGGGAAGAAGAAGGAGTGGATGAAGCTGGACTCGGATGACCGCTGGATGGAGATGGACAGTGTAAAGTACCAGGCGGGCTCCTGTCTGGCTCTGATTTCTCTGCTGGCCGCTGACAAGGTGAGTGTTTGAGCTTTTTGGGGTATTTTTTTTCTCTATGTTCTCTACCGTACCGTGTTTGGAGCTTACATAATACGATTTAAATAAGGCTGACTTTCCTTTTTTCCTTCCTTCTCTTTCTTTCGTTCTTTCTTTTTTTCTTTCTTTTTTCACTATTTCTTTCACTACTTTCACTATTTATTTCACTGTTTATTTTTTTGTTTGAGGCAACCGAAATTTTGTCAGATTAGGGCATCAAACTTCTTTATTTGCTAGATAGAGCAAGCCAAACAATATATCGAAACAGACAAAGGCAAAAACTGGAAAGTTGTGACTTATAATACCTCTTCCAACCTGTACTCTTCAAATATGTCAAGTGGCGTCGGTGGCCTAGTGGTTAGGCAGGCGGACTCGTAATCGTGAGATTGCGGGTCGGGGGTTCGAGCGTCAGCTCAACCCAACATTGTGTCCTTGGAAAAGGCATTTTGCACGAATTTCCCACTTGGCTAGGTCCTTTCGGAGACGGACGTTAAACTCGGAAGCCCTGCCTCTTAAATAACCTAATAGTGTTGATAGGGGTGTTAAACCTATACCATTTTCAAATATGTCAAGACACTGTGGAATCCGGTGATCGTCAATTTTTGGGCTCACGAAGTTATTGGTAAAATCATAAAACTTGTTCATTTGTCTTGTTTTTGGTGGAAAAAAAAATCCCATCTGCCTTGAATAGAAGTTGAGATATTTGCGATTGAAGGAGATGTGGTTTGTCTTATGTTAGAGATAAAATTGGCGAAAAAATGTCTGCTTCCAAAGCTGAATGTCCTTAAAAAAACCCTGCAAATTTACTGGGTTTTTTTTTTTGGTGCCTTTAATCATTTTTTCCATAAAATCCAGAGAGAAATGTGTTTTTAAATGGACTTAAAGGGTGTTGAGACCCTCTCCAAAAATTCCCAAAACACACCAGACGTCGATAAAAATTGCCCAACAGACGGTCAATTGTTAGGTTTTTATGATGACTTCTTTATTCTTATGAGCACCTGGTTTCACCACGACGCCAGACGATTAGTTTATTTTTAACTTCCTGCCATCCTCCTCAGCTGAAGACCCGCCTGTGGGTCCCCGACGAGATGGTGCGGCTGGACACAGACTCGATGGAACAGCTGGCCCAGGGGAAGCTACCTGGGAGGAAGAGGAGGAAACCGCCGGTGGCAGACTCAGAGGGTGGGTGGTTGGCAGGTGCTCTAGTGTGTGGTCTGCTCCTTCTTTCCTGCCCAACGTCTGTCGTCCTTATCTCTCCTCCATGGGTGGTTGGTGGGTGCTCCAGTGTGGTCTGCTCCTTCTTTCCTGTCCAAAGTCTATTGTCCTTATTTCTCTTCCTTCTTTTCTTTGAATGATACTCTCTAGTAAGTCGGTGGTTGGTGGATGCTTATGCATGGTCTGCTCCTTCTTTCCTGTCCAAAGTCTATTTTCCTTATATCTCTATTCCTTCTCTTCTTTGAATGATACATTTCTAGTAAGTCGGTGGTTGGTGGATGCTTTAGTGTGGTTTGCCCCTTCTTTACTATCCAACATCTGTTATCCTTATCTCTTCTCCATGGGTGGTTGGTGGGTGCTGCTTGTGTGTGGTCTGCTCCTTCTTTTCTGTCCAACATATGTGAGACGTGCTGACTAAATGAGTTGCTTCTCGAAATCCGCAAATGGCGATTTTGGCCAAGAATCGACACTAGGGTCACATTTGTAGATTTTCTGATGATGCCATTTTCTTCAAGTATAACATGCCTTTTATCATTTCATACCTATAAATTATAAAAACTTCTCCCATAAGCTTGATGTTTCTATTTCCATAGGGCTCGAATCCGAGAACTAACTCATTTTGTCAGCATGCTTCACATATATTTTCCTTATCTCTCTTCCTTCTCTTCTTTGTAAGATACGTTCTAGTAAGTTACTGGTTGGTAGATGCTTTAGTGTGGTTTGCTCCTTCTTTACTATCCAACATCTGTTGTCCTTATCTCTCCTTTGTGGGTGGTTGGTGGGTGCTCCAGTGTGGTCTGCTCCTTCTTCCCTATCCAACACATATTTTCCTTATCTCTCTTCCTTCTTTTCTTAGTATATTACTTTCTAGTAAGTTGGTGGTTGGCGGGGGCTCTTTCTTTCCTATCCAATGTCTTCAATGTCTGTTGTCCTTATCTCTCCTCCTTTTCTTTCCATGACACTTTCTAGTAGTAAGTTGGTGGTTGGCAGGCATTCTGATGTAGTCTGCTCCTTTTTTCCTGTGTGGGTGATTGGCGGGTGCTCTGGTGTGGTTTGCTTCTTCTTTCCTATCAAACATCTATTGTCCTTATCTCCCCTTCTTCTTTTTTATGTTTGTTACTCTCTTGTAACACCTCTAATCTTCTGGCGCTCATATGACCTTATGCAGTTGCGAGCGCCGTAAAACCTCTAGTAAAACTAAAACTTCTTTCCTGTCCAACATCTATTGTCCTTATCTCTCCTCCTTCTTTTCTTTGTATATTACTTTCTAGTAAGTTGGTGGTTGGCGGGTGCCATGATGTAGTCTGCTCTTTCTTCACTGTCCAACTTCTATAGTCCTTATCTCTCCTTCTTTTTTCTCTGTGTATTACTGTCCAGTAATGCCTCTCACCTTTGGTACTGATGTGACCTACTTGTGTTGCAAGTGTCATAAAACTCAGACTAAAATTCTAAATTAAGACCCGGAGGACTCAGCTGGTGAGTGAACTAGGCCGTCCTGGTCTTGACCCAGGACGACCGTCGAGATGGAGATAATCTGGGATTTTGGAGGATTTGATATTTTTCAGAAATTCAGGATGTGTCTGTTTTCTTTTTTTTTTCTTTTCGGGGGGGGGGGGGGGATATTTTTTTCTTTGGTGTTGTCATTAACCAGGATTCAGGACGTTTTTTTTCTTCCCCCCCCCCCTTGCATTTGAGGGTGGCGAGGGGGGGGGTGGAAGGGGGAAGGGGGGGGGGGAGAGATGGAAGATGGAAGAGGAGTAAGGCAAGGGGATGTATTGTTAAGAATAGTTTTGACATTTGCTTCTGTTTTTGTGTCGGTATTTTATTAATTTTATTTAAATTCAAGGGCACGATATTTTTCCCACACTAGTGTCTGTGATGTAGCGGTTAGGCACTTTGCCGCGGCATACAGAAGACCTGAGTTTGATTCCCATATGGGGAGAATTTTTAAGAACTATCTTGATCTTTCTGCTGGGACTTTGTATATGTCTTGGCTTGGGATGGCCCTGACATGCAGGGTTGAAGCCCACCTCTGAACTGATCTAAATTGTGTCGATGGAGCGTGACACACTTACATTTTAACCAAAAAGTTAGTTCTTGTTCTTTCTACCTAGATGGTAGAAGTGGGTGGTTGATGTGTGTCTTGTTGTGGCTTGCTCTGTCTTTCCTATCAAACATCTATCATCCTTATTTCTCCTCCCTCTTTTATTTGTTTGTTACTCTCTTATAACACCTATGTAATTTTCTATTCTTTTATTTTTATGTTACTGTCTTGTAACACCTCTAATCTTCGACCATTATATGACCCAATTGTGTTGCAAATGCCGTAAAAACTCGTACTAAAACTTTTTAAAAAAACCTTTAAAAACCCAAACAAACCACTGAGTGATTCTTTCTCCTCCCTCTCAGCACCCAAAGGCAAAAACCAAATAGTGCTGACCCGTCCAGCCCAGAAAAAAGCCAAACTGGCAGAAAGAAACCAGGGCCTGGCTGGTTCGGAAGACTCGTCCTCGGAGCAGATGTCGTCTGAGCCAAGCTCCTCATCGGCCAGAGGCCCCGCCTTTTCTACCAGAATGGAGGACAAATACGAAGAGAAGGCGGTGGTAACGGAGAACGTAGACCTCAGCTACAGGTGTCTCAAGTCGGACGAGTGTCATTTTCTCAACGACTATGCCGTATGGCTGGCCTCGGGTTCCCTCTTGACCCTCGCCAGGCAGGCGGTCATCGACAAACTGGACATCCAGTCCAACAAGTTTTTGTTCCACCAGCGGTTCAGTGTGGATAACGTGTACCTGCGGTTCCGTCTACGAGAAGGCTCCACCGATGGGCTGGAGATGCTGAAAGAATGGCGCGGAGTAGAAGTGGAGGAAGAGCCGTGGAGTTTACGCTTGGGGACAGGACATCATCGTCTTCGCAACACGACGTCTGAAGAAAACTCGAAAGAAACGCCGACGTCCTCAGCTAAAGTTGCGTCGTTTTCAACTCCTGCTGGAAGTAGTAGTCGCAATGCTGAAGATTCTGAGATGGAAGTGGCTACGTCGGGGAAAATTTCTATTTTGAAGACAACGAAGAGCGCCCCCTCCTCTGATGATACACCCACCGCTAAACGCAAGGAACACAAAGGAAGATCGGATTTAACACCCACCCCCGGAGAAGCATCCGCGGATAAACTTTTTAAAGAGGTTATCGAAGGGCTGGAGACTGTGTTCACCCCAGAGTTCCTGAAGACGGACGTTGAGGCCGACATAGCGAGGTGCCTGCCCCCCGGCCTGGTGGAAAAGGGTCGAGTCCTCGTCAGTGTTGTGGACCAGTTTGGAGTTAGGGGAGCTTTGGATAATGAAATAGAGGTAAGTTTTTCTTGAGACGTTTTGTTGACTCCTAAGACTCTGGTGTTTGGTGTCCTGAATACAGGTCAGTGTTTGAAACATTCTTTCCATTGTTGAAGCTTATATATCTGGATACCTGGAGGTGTCATCTCTGACTCAGAGGTTGACGTGTAATCATCCTCCATCCTTCACGATTGTGAGCTGCTGTTGCTCATTTTTATATAAATATGTAGCTTGTAATGTTGCCACCTATATAGAGGTAAATGTTTTAAAACTTGTAAACAGTTTAGACTGTTCGAGCTTATTGGTTTCCAAAGTTTAATTTGATATAATAACCATATTCGTTTTGATAATGGTGTAGAGCTTAATGTGAATTTGTTTCCTTCTTTTCCTGCTTTCACATACTGTTCCATCTATATTTTCTCTTCTATTACTCATCTTGTGATTCTTTCCAAGTCTGTTTGTTTTTCTGTCTATCTGCCTGTCTGTCTGTCTG